GCCCTTCTTGGTCTGTCCATCCTCACCCACCCCTTGTCCAATATTGCCCTGGACTTTGTCACTGGCCTCCCTTCCTCCATGGACAATGATTAAATGGATTTTGATGGCTGTGGACCATTTTTTCAAAGGCAGCTCCCTTAATTTCCCTTCCCTTCCTTTACCCTCAGCTAAGGAAACTGTTTGGGTGGTAGTCGATTATGTCTTCCTGGAGACAATCCCACTTCCTGGAGCCATCAGCTTACATGGGCATAGTATGCCTACAATATGCTCCCTGTGGCAGCCAATGTATGCCCCCCTTCCAAATTCTGTTGGTTATCAACCACATCTTTTTGCTTCACAGGAACCTGAAGCACTTGTTCCCTTCACCCAGGCCTTTGTCCAGTCGTGCAGACTCAAATGACAAAGAGCCAGGAAGGTGCTTTTCCAGGCGGGGAAAAATTACAAGGTGTCAGCAGATCATCCTTAACCAAAGTATTTGTGTGGGTAGAGGGTATGGCTTTCCACTAAGGACCTGCCCCTTAAGGTGCTGGCATGCAAGCTGGAACCCAGGTTCTTAGGGCTATACTGCATTATCAAAGTATTAGGTCCAACGGTAGTGTGGCTCTCATGTGTCGGCGGCTTTCATGTGTTTCGTGTCAAGCCTGGAATTTCTTACCCTTTGAACCTGTGTCTGCACCTTCCCTCTTTCCCTTGTTGCACTAAGAAGGCTTCTGGACACCAGGAGGCATAGTAGGGGATACTAGTACCTTGTGGAGGGTGCTGTCTCTGGACATCTTGGACCACTCCTTTTCCGTCCCAAGAGCACAAAGGGTTGCTTGGGTGGGGCGATGGATGCTTACTGTTAGGGTGCTGCTGGTCTGATCAGCTCAGGGTTTGTTTGTGTTGCGTCCTATGTTTGTCTCTTGCTCTTTCTACAGTCTCTTGCTGCCCTGTCTTCCCAGCTCCTCTCTTCTTCCTGCTCCATCCATCTGGCTCCTCTTCAAATCTCTTATCTTCCCGCCAGCCCCAGAGGATTCCACCCAGGACCGTCAGGTTCCTGCCACCACTCTCCAGGTTTCTCTCTCTCTCTCTTTCTCTCACACTCTCTCTCCTGCCATCATCATTATATGATCCTTGGTGTCCATCACTCACCTCACCTATCTTGTCCTTGGACTGATCTCCCATCTCCCACCAGTGTTTCTGTTTGGTTCTGCTCTGCAGTTCACTCTGGTTTCCCTTAATTATAATTATAGATAATAAATAGAAACAAAAGCACAAAATAAGTGTCAGCTGGTCAGAGGTGGAATGGTCCGCAGGAACACATTCAGTCTTCTGAAGGCACTCATTGTAATCTCATTACATTTAATGTTCTTAAAAGGAATAAAACTCAGGGTAAATTTTATGTCTGACAACAAATATAGTATATATTAAAATACATATTTAATTTAATATAATTGCGCTCCTTTCTGGTGTGCACCATCATGCATGCGCATTAAGTCTTTTAATTAATTTAAGACTCAATTGCTGATAAAAACAAATTGTTTGCGGAACAGAAACAAGCGCATTTATTTCAGTTCATTATATTTACATAATGTCAAATCCATTGGAAATTAATGTAATAGAGTGGAATTGCCTAAAGCTTCTAATGACAGCAGTGAGGCAGATCACACAGGATAAAGCTCAAATCATAAATGAATCCAAAAACCTAATATTATATTTGTTCATATAACAACATTACACAAGAGCTAAATTTAAGAGCGAATTCCACTAAATGCTTATCAATTTTAGTCTATTCGTTTACACTGCTGCCAATGCACGGAGATAAACAAACTCTTCTTCTGCTGCGCTTTGTTCCTGTAGTCAACAGCACCCTCTAGTGGTTCAGCTGTGTGGATGCAGAAAGTCTGTGCAATAGCGAAAGTTGTTACTTCAAATATGTATTTGAAGTAGGGCTGTCAACGTTAACGCATGCGATTAATTTTACAATCCTTAACGCGTTAAAATAATGTAACGCAATTAAAGAAAAATGACTGAAGCACAAGTTCTATTCTAACCCTTTAACCAAATTTTGCTTCTCTGCTTGCGATCAGATCATTTTACTTACGCTCAGGGGCGTTTTTGTGTATTTTCGCCTAAATTTGACATACCCAAATTCAATTGTTTACCCTACACACATACAATGGAGGAAATGAAAAAAAAATGGTGTCATTGTATAGAAAACCCTTTGAACTACAAAATATGGTTGTAATTCTTCATAAATAACATTATATATGTTTTAAATATTACAATTTATATTGTTTGCAACTTATATTGTTTGATTCCACTAGGTGCCAAGATGTGCCAGAAAAAATAATCTTTCAAATAACAGCTTCTAAACAGGAGTTATTGAATTATAACCGAAGGGAGTAAAATCGTCCCTTTTTTGCTTCTAAAAGTGTATTTGTGAGTTTCCTTTGCAAAAACAGGTTTTATAAATCATATTGCCCCCAGAATCCTATTTTACTATGTGCTATAGCACTTTTCTTGATTATTGACTGAATTATGTTTTTATGTTTGTCTAAGTAGTAATATATTATACCAAATATCAAATTTTGTGTTTTATACAATCAGTTTTTTTCTTTCAGGAGACACAAGACTCTATAAATTGTAAAATCCATGTGGTTTATTACAATCTAAAACAGAATCCACATCCTCCAGCTTTATATCATTCCATTTATGTTCATAATTTTAGTCCCCTATCCCCTGCATCACTGCTTCTGCATCCTACCTCTGTCAGCATCCTGCCTGGAGATCAGATGCGAGCTTTGCCGCTAGCTCCGAGCTAACTGCTTCTGGCATGAGCTCGCAGCTGCTATCTGGTCTTCAGAATGTGAAACAAAGAAATAGCTGTTTATAAACACAGCACTGTAATAATATCCATGTATATTTACTGAAACGCATCCTGTACTGTACTTTACTGTCAATACATCATTTATCAGATTGTTAGATTTGCTTTTACGTTTCAAAATAATGATTCTATCAAAAACGGAGCAAAAGCGCTCATATGTGCTCACCAGACGCGCGTCCTCTCCACCGCGCCGCTGAACGTTCTTCATCATATATAACTTTCATTATAATGTTCATAGATTGCCATTATCCGAGCTGCCGATGCGTTTGTCTTCCAGCGTGCATTATCACCTTCAAAACAGTCAAAGAAAACTACAAGACCCACGCTCAACAGCTCCAGCGCTGACCCGGATCCTCTCTCTCCCCCCTCCTGTCTATTGACCCAGAGGTGTCAAATTTCACGGCTCTGAGTGGCCCGGCGCGCTTGAGTGGCGTATAATCTGACCTAGTGCAGTCCAGAGTAGCCCAGAGTTGTAGAACATAAGAGCCGCTGGCCAGAGCTGCTATGATTTGGAGAGCCAAAAAGAGCGTCTTTGTTTCTCTGTTGTGCAGCTGGACAAAACGCTATATATCTCACCGATGGAAGCACGCAGAAACGTGAAAATGGTCTTGTTTGAAAGAAGAGATCCTAATCTAAAAGCTATTATAGAGTATATAGATATTTGTGGCTGTTTGCGGCTGAGTGAAGCAGCGCTACGAGTAGGAATGTAACCCATACGAAAATTTGCTTAGAGGTGAGAAATTTCACATTGCGATTTTATTGAAGATCATTTGATCTGTGATTGTCACACAATGAAATAATCTTCATAGTCAAATTCCTGAGCATGAGAGCTTTCTTGTGATATATGACTTGACTGTTTTGTGAAAAATATAAAAAATGCACATTCTTCTAGGCGGAAATTCGTGTGTGGGTCGAATACATTTCTAAGCTTCATTTCACTGCTTTATGTAAACTTTGTAAAGAAGACACTCTAAGCTTTCAAATGATACCATATATGGGCTGATACCATATAAGGAAGGCTTTGCAAATGAAGCATAAACGTTTTTTACTTGATTTTGGACCCATATCCGGGACCGCGGAGTTTATTAAGCTCCTAAACTCCGGGAAAGTTTTCAGTCCAATGATCCAGTCAATGCATCAAAACAATCAGTCCAAAATAGCGCTAATATAAAGTAAACCAGGCAGATTACATCAGAGATTGCAGAGAGAACAGAGACTCGCTTTGTGTTTTTAGTGAATTTATTCATTCCAGTGTGTTTCTCTTTTAAACAAAAGCTCTGTCATATTCTGTAATTGTCTCTGAAGAGCGCGAGCCCTCACACGTCACACGCGCTGTGTGAAGTAACGGATTGTCAACACATCCCACTGCTGTATGGCCAGATGAGACGCAAACGTCTCGGTTACGTATGGTAACCCTCGTTCCCTGAAGGAGGGAATGGAGACGTCACGTCGGATGACCGACGAATTGGGATCTCGCTTAGAGAGACCAATCTACTTCGAGTGTAAACTAAACGAGCCAATGCACATTAGCATGCGATTATTG